GGTCACGAAAAAAAACAAAAAAATTAAAAAAAAAAAAAAAAAGGAACAGCTAACCAATCAAGACAACACTATTCCTCAAGCACATACCACCAGACAACGGTTAATATCATAGTGTTAACAGAAACCAATAAAACTAGATGCAACTTTTCTAAGACTTCATTTAAAGAGGAAAAACATAACATGAAAAGGTTTCTTATGTAAGGATTAATATGACAGGAACCATTATCAACAAGTGTATTTAAGGTGGGAATATGTAGCCCTTTCTCTAGTACGTTTGTTTAGGTTTAAATCCAGAGGTAAAGCTTTTACCTTCAGGTGCCAAAAGATTTGAGAGTACAAATTCCCCTTTCCAGCTTCAGTTTCAAATGTTCTAAGCCATTAGATATACAGGTGAACAATACTAGCCCCGGATCCTGGATTTTTGATGTAGAAAACCAGTGGATCTAAACAAAATCTCCTTGTATTGTGGGGTCAGAGCAAAAATGGAAGGCCAGTTGGTGTTCTAAATGTTCATCATTCAAACTGTTTGAGGCTGACCAACTCCTACACACCCACTATACATTGTTGTCCAGCAATCAAGTATGAAAATGTATATCTGGGGATGAGTCATGGCATAATGAAGTGGATACCTAAAATACTGGGGACACCGATATGTAATATATACATAAAATAATGTGTATAAACAGAAGATATATATTTCACTTAGAACTCAGAATAGGGGTTGACTCCTTAAGATTTCAACCTTAAAACCTTTAAAGGTTAAAATCTTAAGTAGAGAGATCTGAAATTCACAAACAGTTCTTTCTCATCCCTAAATCTGGCACAGCACAATCACGAACTCTGTGTAAAGGAGAAGAAGAAATAAATCATTCTGTAGAATGATCACATTTATCTCTACACCAAAGGACAACAAAATGCTTCATGAGGAAAAGCACAGGAAGAGTCATGGTGTATCACCTCAGAACAAAGGGCAAAAAATAAGCAAACAAATGGCCTGAGATCCCTCACAGAAGGAGTTCTCAAACTTTGGAAAATGTGAACTTTCAAATGATTAAATTGCATAAAAATGTAAAGCTTATGTAAGTCAAATTAAAGATGACCAGACTTGGTCCGACCCTGTGGCTCACTTGGGAGAGTGCAGAGCTGGGAGCGCAGTGGCGCTCCCGCCACGGGTTCGGATCCTATATGGGGATGGCCAGTGTGCTCACTGACTGAGTGCGGTGCGGGCGACACCAAGCCAAGGGTTGCGATCCCCTTAAGTCACACACACACACACACAAAAAAAGATGACCAGACTTGTCCAATGCACATACAAGTTAGAGATCATGGACTAACAGTATTGCCTTAGTGCTCAGTCAAATCCATTAAAACTTACAATTACAGAGGGTCTCCACAGATATTTTGAATAGAAAAATGTGCAAAAAGCTTAACAATTAAGTAACAGAAGAAAATACAACTAAATAGAAAGTATTAATCCACAAAGCAGTGCCATTTAAAACTACTTTATCTGAAGTGTTTATTTAACAACAGGAAAGAACAGAGGGTGATACTAATAGTCTAATAATTTTTGATGGCAATAAATATTTCTTGTGATGCTTTTAGAAAACAATGTAACAAAACATTTAACAGTCATACTATTTTATCAAAAAGACAGAGTAACAAAAGCTGGCAAAGATGTGGATAAAGGCGGATCCTTCTGCACTGCTGGTGGGACTGGTAAATTAGTACAACCACTACATAGAACAGTATGGAGGTCACTTAAACAACTACGGATAGAGCTACCACACGATCCAGCAATCCCACTACTAGGAATATACCCAAAGGAATGGAAATCATCATGTCGAAGGGATGCATTCCCAAGTTTATTGCAGCTCTACTGAAATAGTTAGGCTATGGAATCAACCTAAATATTCATCAATGGATGACTGGATAAGGAAAATGGGGTACATATAAATACAGTGGAATACTATTCAGCCATAGAAAATAATTCTGCCCTTCACAACAACATGGATGAGCTTGGAGAAATTAAGCTAACCCAAAACAACCCAGGTATGGAAAGAGAAATACCATGTATACTCATAAGTGGAAGCTAAATAAACAAACAAACAATAAAGAAGGAAAGAAAGAGAATGAAAGAAAGTTTTAGAAGGAGAGGACAGAACTGTGGTTATTAGAAGTGGAAAGGGGGCGGATAATGAGAAATTGGTTAATGGTCACAAAGAATGATTACATACTGTAATAATGAATAAGCTAACTATCCTGACTTGACCATCACATATTGTACACAACTACTGATAGTCAACTTTGTACCCCACAAATATGCACATCAATTATGCTTCATTAAAAAAAGTCATACTAATGTTTATTTACACCCTGCATCAAACAAGTGGTAAAGTAACCTAGTAAATTTTTAGGTACCAAACAAAAACAAAACTAATATTCGTAACACAATGGTTTACTTTCCCACTTTTGCTGGCTATCATATGATTTAGATTTCTGTAATGGTATCAATTGTTTGAGTATCTTTAAAAACTACGTGTCTACCTGTATATCAAACTTTCCCTGTCATGTATACTTCATTATACACTTTATACAATCCCTTTCTTCACCACTTTCTATAGCATCACCACTGTCCCCACCATAGCATTTTCTTCTTTATTTTTTTTTCCTTTTTGTCTTTTTTCGTGACCGGCAACGGATCGCAACCCTCAGTGTTGTCCCCGTACCGGGCCGGGACCGGCCACGGGATCGCAACCCTCGGTGTTGCTCCCGCCCCTCACTCAGCCAGTGAGCGGCCGGTCTGTATGTGGGATCCGAACCCTCGGCGGGAGCACCACCGCACTTCCCAATCGGCGCACTATAGCAGTGCGCCACCAGGCCGGCCCAGCATTTTCTTCTTTAAATATGGTTTTCTAAAACAAAGGTCAGCCAACTTTTAAAGGACAAGATACTAAATATTTTAGGCAGTGCCTGTCATTTGATCTGACACACTACTCAAAGCTGCCACTGTAGTGCCAATGCACTCATAGACCATAAAATGAATGGGCACGGTTGTGTTCCAATAAAATTTTATTTACAAAACTAGTGGGCCAGATTCTTTACCAATCCCGCTCTAAAGAAATCCTAGTAACTACAGTACTATTTAGGTAGAACCAGCAGCTGAGATTAAAATAAAACAGGATATAATTAAATATCATAACATTAGACACTTAGAGATTATAATGTATGATTTAAATAATACTTTGTTTGTTTTTTTGACCGGTAAGGGGATCACAACCCTTGGCACGGTGTCACCCGCACCGCGCTCAGCCAGTGCTCACGCGACGCCCTCACCACGCTCGGCCCTATAATACTTATTTTAAAAGAACATATGAACTGAACTGAGAAGCCAAGATTCCAGGGTTAAAAAAAAAATCAATATTGTGCACACCTACTCATCATTGAAAAATGCCCTTACTCTAGGGAACAGCAGGAGACATAATCAGATTCCATTGTCTGCTTCAAACCAAGTCCATGCAATTGCTAGAGAATGTTGGATACAAAGGATTCAACAAGAGACGAATTCTCAATAAATTTATGTTTGTTTCCTTAGATTTAAATTCAAAATGATGCCCATAAACAGGCCTAATTAATTCAACTCAAGCTATAATATTTTAAATACAGAATTAAAAAAAAAAATCTTGAAGAGAACTCATCCATAAACTCCTTTTCTCTCTGGCCTTATTTTCTAAAAAAGTAATAATACAATTTCAGGAATAAAGGAATTCTAATCTTAAAATCCCCCCCACCCAAAAAAAAAGGAAAAACAAAGCATGAAATCAAAATCAACTTCTGGGGCCGGCCCGTGGTGCACTCGGGAGAGTGAGGCGCTGGGAGCGCAGCAACGCTCCTGCTGTGGGTTCGGATCCTATATAGGGATGGCCAGTGCGCTCACTGGCTGAGCGCAGTGCGGGCGACACCAAGCCAAGGGTTGCGATCCCCTTACCGGTCACGAAAAAGACCAAAAAAAAAAAAAAAATCAACTTCTGAGTATCTTTTTCCTCAAAAATGTAAGTGACCAACATAAAAAGATAGATTAAATACATCTACATCACACTGAATAAGTATGGGAAATATCTTTATTATATTGTCTGCTCATTCAAATAGGAAATACATTGGTAAAAACAGAAGTCAGAAAAAGACAAAACAATAAAAAAGGAATAATCAGTAAATAAGCATGGGAAAATATTTAGATTCTCTAGCACTCATTGCTAATGAACATGTATATTTATAATTCAATAGGTATAAATGCTACTGTGTTTAAAATAACTAATGCTGATGGAAGTGTATTGTTACTGGCACACTTTTTTTTTTAAGGCAGTGAAAACTAATATAATACTTTGCAATACAACTTAAGAACATATGCCTCAAGTTCATATCGAATTTATTTTCACATCTGCCTATCTAAGGAAACATTCCTACCTAAAGTCTTAGGCAAGACTATTCACTGAAGCTTTCTTCAAGCTACTAGCAGAAAAAGTCTCCCACAAAAGGGAATTACAAGACATTCACTAGCAGGACATTTAACAGCCATTCATAATGAATTATTTTTATAATGCAATAATAAAAATCATGGCAAAATAAAATACAAATAAAACTACCTAAAAAGCATGCACTACAAAGACTAAAAGCTGATTTTTTTATTTCTGACTATCACTGCATCAGCTCTAACCTGGTTTGGCTTGGAATCAGCTACCTCGATGTTTCAGTATTGTTTTAACCACCTCTTGGTGTCTCAGCTAGGAATGCCTGTCTCAGTTCCACCTGGAAATCCACCACAGGTACTGGCTGCTGCTGAGAACGCCTCGGGTACAAATGACACCTATGACAAGAGGACAATATTAATGAAGACATTTGTCTAGATAGATAACCATATAAAAAAAATGCAGAAACCCTTAACATTTAAGAACACCCTCCTTTAGGGGGAGAGCATGCCATTACCTTATAAGGAAATTATAAAACAAAACAGGAGTCTGCATACAGAGATATGCAAGGGGCTAGTGAATACTTACCCAGACTGGGGACATTTCCGAAGAACTATAAACCCCAAGAGCTGTTAGCCCCATAACAACACCATCAGTACCATATCTGTCACTCACTTTCCAATCATCCTGTGGAGAAATAGTCCCTTCTCCCCTAGAATGGGGGGAGGGAGTTGCTAAAGGACTTTTCAGTGAGACATTAAGGCTGTCATCCATACCAATCCTTGAGAAATCACTACCTGAAACAAAGAACTTCCTAAAACAAAGGACTCTCGAACTATGTAAATCTATTATTAGTTTGGTATTAGTTTATCATCTATTAGTAAGCAGGGAATTCCAGAAGAAAGCCCTCAACATACTCCTATGAATCAGTAACACTAGCTGTGAAATCTAATGATAAGAAAGATATAGGATTGTTGGTTTACTGGCTAACTATAAAGGCCTGAAGGAGGAGGGTGGGAGAGTTAACAAACACACACGTACTTTAAAAAGTTTGTGGAAAACTAGAATTGAAAGATCATCTGAAATTTTCCATAAACTTTTTGAGAAACTTTTTGTGTGTGAAAAAAATATTCGAAGGCAATTGAATTTGAAAATGGGACTGTGGTAGAAGTTTTTCCACTTTTTTCTGTTGTTTTTCATTAACATTTTTAACATACCAATGTATAATAATTAACCTCTAAATCCTTGGAATTAACCAAGCCATAGGTGTGTCTTTGTTACTCAAGATGGGTCCCTCAGATTACACCTGTTTATGCTAATGAGAGGACTCAGGATGGTGGCTGGCCAGGCCACACAAAGATCAGAGGGTTGGGGCTTTGAACCTGACCTCTTGGGAGGGAACAGGAGCTGGAGATGAGTTCAATCACATGGCCAATGATCTAGTCATGTCTGTGTAATGAAAACCCAACAAAAACCCTGGACATTCCAACTTCTGGTGAGCTTCCCAGTTGATGATATCCACTGATGTGCAGGAAGGGTAAGGCATCCTGAGGACGGGGAAACTTTACATATGGCATCGTATAGGACCTCGCCTAGAAACCTACACATTTGTATTCTTTATAATAAACACATTATAACAAACATGATGGAAACTTCACCTACTAACAAGATCATCATCCATGAGACCTCAGTTCCACCTATAACTCAACCACAATTTCTCTAAGCTACCTTTAGAAACTCTGGGAATAGTAGTGGCACTTTTAGGGGAGTGGGAAAAAAAAGATACAACCACACGAAAGAAAATGAAAAAATCAAATATCCTATAATAAAAGATAAATTATAACGGCCAACCTATTTATAAATAAAATATTTATGAAATACTTCTTTCAAAGCAATTTCCAAAGTGAAAATGTAATTACAGAATAATACACTCAGAACATTAAAAAAAAAAAAAAAAACTAAAGAAATAGAAAATGGGAAAATCAATGGGCCGAGCCCGTGGTGCACTCGGGAGAGTGCGGCGCTGGGAGTGCAGCTCCGCGGGTTCGGATCCTATATAGGGATGACTGGTGGGCTGAGTGCGGTGTGGCCGGTCTCAAAAAGGACAAAAAAAAAAAAAAAAGAAAATAGGAAAATCAAAAAACTTCACCCTCACCAATAATTTAAAATATGCGAATATTTTATAATTTTTTATATTAGGGCCGACCCCGTGGCTCATTCGGGAGAGTGCGGCGCTGGGAGCGCAGAGGCGCTCCTGCCACAGGTTCGGATCCTATATAGGGATAGCCGGTGTGCTCGCTGGCTGAGTGCGGTCACAAAAAACAAAGGACAAAAATAATAATAATAATAATAATAATAATAATTTTTTATATTAAATGAGCAAATAACAAAAATAAGACACAAAATGGTATGCACTTTTTATAATTAAAAAGAACTTTTGGATTGAGGAAATAAAATAATTAGTATTAACACAATGCATTTCTAGAGTGACTGTTCTTATCTTCATATTAACTGCCAAGAAATGCAAACTAACTAAATATCCATCGATAGGTTAATGATTAAAGTAATTATGTTACTATACCACCCATACTCTGCCATCTGTATAAAAGCAGATTTATATGCACTGATATTGAAATATTGCAGGGCATACTGTCAAAGAACAATATGTACAGCACTATGTCTGCAAACACATGTATGCAAACAAATTGAATCACACATATGTGTCCCACCCTCTTCCCTATCTATCCCCTACATATATAATGGACATACATGTGTACAGGACAAGGTCCGAAAGGACAGAGAACAAAGTACTTAGGATTATCTCTGGGGATGGAAGGGGAAGGAGAATAAATAAGATTAGACTCTTATGTAAAAATGTGTTTTACAAAGAATCCGTATTCATACATTGCTAATACTTGTAATTTTGAAAAAATACCACAGTAAAATAACTTTAAAAATGAAAAAATACTACTATTGATACTGTCAAAACTTTAATGGCAATGACAAAATGCCAAAGATTCGATGTATACTCAATATGTATCTGGTCATTATAAATGTTCCTATTTGTAAATTAAAATTGCCCATCTAGAAAACTAAAATATGTGTGCACACACGTGTGAATTAAATGTATCTGTGTGTATTCATGTGCATATATCCTACACAAAGAGGAAAAAATACAGATTTTTTTTTTTTTGGCAGCTGGCCAGTACAGGGATCTGAACCCCTGACCTTGGTGTTATAACACCAGACTCTAACCAATGGCTTACCATCCAGTGCAATTTTAAATTTTTAACTGGATAAATGCACTAACCAAAGACAACCTAAATATTACAGAGTAAGAATATATAATGTCCCTTCAATGTACCAAATATTTTGCAAGCATATGAAAAGTGATTTAACAACAGAAGTTAGAATGCAGAAATAATATAAATAGATATATGCTGAAGGATAAATATAGAATTTTAAAGATAAAACCTACCTACACATGTACGAAAAAAAAGGAAATACATTATTTTAAAGTTTTAACAGACGTTGAGTTAGGTTAACGTGATTAAGAATTATTTCATTACATTTCTGCCAATTCTTCTTATTACATGGATGTGCTTCTGCAGTTAAATTCATTTTAATCCCTCATTGTATGACACCTTGTTCCAATCTGAAATACAATTCTGACCTGGAATGGTTCTCAACCCAGACTGTACTCACTCCTGGTTGCTCAGTGAGGCTGTCCTTCTGCGTTTGACTTGGACTTCAACCTCTGGCACGTGCTGTTCTGTAGTCCGTCTCAGGTGTAAGCGATCCCTGAAAGAGGAAAAAAAATTGTTTGATGGACTTCATCAATTTAACAAACAACTCCATATTTAAAGGTTATATTAAGAACTGTATTTAAATATGACAGAATTTTTAAAGTGTTCACAATCTAATTAAAACAAGGTAAAATTAAAACATTAAAACGTCTTTATCCTTCAAGCAATCAGGATCCATGCTCTAGCCACATTATAGCTCATCACATTATAAAACCTGGTTTTAAAAATCAGGAAATAAAGCAAAAGTAATATATTCACCTTTTTTTTTTGGGTCTTTTTTTGTGACCGGCCGCACCGCGCTCAGCCAGTGAGCACACAGGCCATCCCTATATAGGATCCGAACCCGCGGCGACCTCTCCCGAGTGTGCCACGGGGTCGGCCCTTCACTTCTGTTTATACTTATACATACATATATAAAAATACTTACACAGATATATACATACATACACATAAACCATACCACCATTATGTTCGCAGTACTTATCCCCCAACCCAAAACAGCAAAACTGATTCTAAAAATAGTTTGGAAAAACACTTTTTAGGGTATAATAGATACTTTTACATAGTAAAATGGTAGAACACAAAATTTAAATTATAAAATGTCTACTTAAAAAAATATCCAGTGCAAATGCTACTTTCTTATGACCTACAAAACAAGAAACAGAAGGGCTGCTTATGCAAGAAAAAAACTATCAACACAGCAAAAAGAATAAGAAATACTGCCATGTTTTAGGATCTACAGAACACTTCACAAAATGGCTGCTCAAGGGAAATGAGAATGAAATCCCCACTTGGGCTGGCCCTGATAGGAACTGCAAGAACTAATACAACTGCAATCTAAAAATACTAGATCAGAAAGAACAAAAGAAAAGGCTTTTTTACAAGTCATGTAACATTTCAAAGGCAGAATTCAAAGGACACATCCCAAAGGCTAATTCTCTGAACTCTAGCTAATTTCAAAAGTCTAGTAAGACTTTTAGATTGGTAAAATAGCTTACCAACAACCCCCAGCTGTTTCATTGCTTCAAGAACTTTGAATGTTCTAATCCAAGCTATAGAAATGATTCTTTAACAAATCAAGTATACATACATACTAGATTTTTAAATGATAAAATTTTGTACATTGCTAATCTTCATGACCTTGGATTAGGTAATGGTCTCTTAAATGTGACACCAAAGGTACAAGCAACCTAAGAAAGAAAGAAATTGAACTTCATCAAAAGTAAAAAAAAATAGAAGTCTGTTTCAAAGGACACTAAAGAGAAGACAATCAGCAGAATGAGATAAAATATTTTCAAATGATACAGCTGATTGAGAGTCTACTATCCAAAAAAAAAAAAAAAAACCAGCAAAGGGGGAGGGAGGGAACTTTTGGAGATGATGGATCAGTTTACAGCTCTGACTGTGATGATGGTTTTCAAAGGTGTAGTTTCCTAACATCAATTTGTAACACTAAATATCCACAGCTTTTTGTATGTCAATATACTTCAACAAAGTGTTTTTTTTTTAAGTCTTATATCGGGAATATATAAGGAACTTTTACAACGTAACAATAAAAAGACAAAACCTATTTTTAAAATGGTTAAATAATTCCAATAGATAGTTCTCCAAAGAAGATATGCAAATAGCACATGAAAATACGCTTAACATCATTAGACATTAAAGAAATGCCAATCAAAAGCACAATGAGATACCACTTGATACCAGGAATAGTGGGGAGGATGTGGAGAAACTGCTAATGAGAATGGAAAATAGTGTAGTCTCTGACACTTCCTAAAACATTAACCATGAAATTAACATATGACCCAGCAATTCCACTCCTAGATGGTAAACTTGTATTTGTTCCCAGTAATGTTCATGACAACCAAAAAGTGGAAGCAAGTCAAATGTCCATCAGCTGATAAATGGATGAACAAAATATGGTGTAATATGGTACATCCATACAAAGGAATGTCATCTGGCCACAAAAAGGCATAAAGTAATGATTTGTTTTACAACAAGTGTGTTGAAACATATTTAATAATGTAATACACTATGTTAATTTAATCGAATAAAAAGAACTATTACCAGACTATAATTAATCCAATACTGTGTAACTGCAAACACCCCACTACCAAAAAAAAAAAAAAAAAAAAAAAAAAATCCTCAGGTCCTTTACCCACTCCTTATCCAGTTGCTCAGTATGAAAAGGTCTGAGTTCTGTTCAGAAAACAGCCATTGTACAAAAATGTTCTATTAGTTCAACTTTCTGAACTAACTTACTTTTAAGCTACTACATACATCGTCTATGAGCTTTAGTCTGAACAATAAAGTTTGTTCTAGATACATACACATGCACACACATGCATTTATAATCTCCTTAACAACAATCCCAACCAAGAAACTAACATTTCAGAAAATTAAGCATTTAAGGAAAAAATGTCATATGTACACAATGTTAATTTTTTGCTCCAGGAAACACACTTATAAGCAAAACACAATGGGATCCTAAAATTTTATTCCTACTAGCTAATTTTCCATAAAATACTTAACATGCTTTACATCAAAAAAAACTTAATAAAAATTAACTACGATCTCAGGAATAAACAAAACTAACATAAACATCAGAAAGATAATGTGAGGTCCTGTCAGTCTGCACCCCACAAACCTCACAAAAATCAGTGCCTCCAAAACAGAACCTGGGAAGATCATCAAAAAGAAAATTGTGGACCAGCTAACTTCAGACTCTTTATCAGGGAAGGAGACTGCCTTAACCAGCAACAACACTCATTCAAGCTTCTTGGCTCTCAGCCATATAAGCTGAGGGGTGAGACAGGATCAGAGATAGTTCTAATCTACACGGAGGAACAAAAGATTAAAAAACCTCGCCATCCCAGATACGTTGAAAGGCAATTCTCATAACCTGCTTACTTCAAGGATTCTTCCTAAAAACAGCTAAGAAACAGAGTGCAGTGGCAAATGTAAGAAATGAACTTAGAAGCCTTGATGTCTTTAATGTTAAATTTGTTGGAAAACAAAAATGAACATTAGGGGGAATAAAGGAGGGTAAGGGATTAATAAATATGTATAGTAATCATAAATGGGAAAAATATTTGCCCAATGAAACCCTGGTCAGATAGAATAGGAAAACCAAGATAATACAAACCAGATAGGATCTTGCCTTAGACAGCAATATAAGGATCCCTTGACTAACCTTCCTTGCTCTAAATCACAGGTAGGGCTCACACTCCCCATTTTCATATACCCCTAATACTGAGCCAAATATTCACGGGGTAGGACAAAGAAACTGAAACTTCAGAGGCCTTGAAACATGATGAGGCCCCATGAGGAATCCGCCATATTGGGATCCTGAGTCTGAGTGAGACAGTACAAAATGGCGGAGCAGAATAAACAGCTTGCAGAGAGCCAAATGATCGTAAGTTAAACCAAAATATATTTGATGCATTAGCAGTGTATTTGTACAAGCAGGAGAAAAAATGAGCAAATGATAAATACTACACACAAAATTTTAGGCCGTTGCTATTTTTCAAACTACTAGAAAAGAAACAATTCCAGAACAAAGTTTTTCAAATTTAGATTTACCTTTTCGTTAATTACAACTCATCACAACTTTAGATATTGGTTATGATATGTGAGAAAAAGAAATGGAAAAAGGGAAGCATATGAAAATCAATGGAAATGATGGAAAACAAAATACTTCATGTAAAAATGTTAAAAATCAAAGTAGTTAAATATAGGAATATAGTAATTATCCATTCTCACCAAATTGGCATAGTTTCTTCAACTTCAAAAGTGATCAAAAGCACTAATTTAAAAATCCAGCTAAAGACAATAATTATGACCCCAAGCACACTCCCGGTCCAACTGGATTCTCGCAACTTCCCTGATTCTCTTTTCTTCTCTTCCAACACAATTTGCAGCTTTCCATTCCTAAGAGCTCAGGAGGGTCCAATGTTTGGCACACCCCTCACCTTGGTTGGGACTGCACCCTGATTCCCTGTTTCAGGAAATTATCTATATTGTGGGGTCAGAATCCAAACATTAAAATGAGTAACAGATTCTTGATGGTGATGCGACTGTTAAATTGTCAAATCTGAAAAGTGGAAATCAAAGGCTGTGGGAAGGGGAGTGGTATAAGGGGTTACTGAATTCTCTGAAAATGGAGAATTAGACTGTGCACAATACAACCAAGGAGGGATCTACAAAAATAAAAAGATGGGTTTTTCTAGGGAGTTGGAAAACGATTTAAAATCTCTACCAGTGATGGAGGCTATCTGAAGCAGCACAGCAGATCCTGAGTTGGCCGCACCTTTGTTGGCTTCCAGACTCCCACCACTTTAGTCTACTGCACAACAGAAAAGCAGGTGCGCAGTGCAGCTGCCATCCTACACACTTGGAGGCTATAAAAATCCCTGGCCTTTCTCTCATTCCCCGCCCATCCTCCACTGCGACACTGTAGGGGAGGGGGTGGCCCAAGCCTGCGCAAACCTATCTTCTTCCCCCTCGACTGAACCACGAGGAAGCAGCAGCCCCCATAGCGGCCAGGTGAAAGGGATGGCTGGCACTCCCTACAAGCTGAAGCTGCGCAATTTCCTCCCCCTGCCTGCCCCACCGAGGGTGTAGGCGGCAGCCATCCCTGTTGCGCATGCGCGTCCTTCTTCACTGCAGCACTTTGAGGAGGGGGCAGTAGCCCACCCCATTCACGCCCTCTCCTCAGCACTGCACTTTGGAGAGGGTACGTTATAATTCCAGCATGGCAGAAACTGAGCAGGGTTGCACAGACCGCCCCCTCCCCCAGTGGCACTGTGGGGAGGGGGCGACCGCCCCCACCCTGCCGCGGCTGCGCAGACCCATGCCACTGCAGTGGCGGCCATCTTTGAGGAGTCGCACAATGGCAGTGACGCGGCACTAGACCCCCAAGAAATCCAGTCTTAGAAGACCTAATTCCAAACACCAGAAAAACAATTAAAAAATGAGACCCCGCACGTCTGTCATACGAGGCATAAACAGCAAGTTCTGCACGTCATGGCCCCATCATCTTATACCTTAGCCACAAAAATGACCAAAACATACAAGAAAACCAAACATTTCTGCAGCCATTGCTTAACTGCAGGGGTGGCGGAAGCGTTAAAAAATCATAAAAAGCAGGACTACGATATGTCGCAGAAAAATTAACGTTCCCCCTTTCCTTCAAACTGAAGGCTGTGGGCTGCGCACGGCCCCTCCCTCTGCCAGCCCCTTCTCGCTCATCCCGAAGCCGCTGCAGCCTCCCCCTCCCAACACCCTCCCCACCACCGACGTCATTCCACCGCCCCCGCCCAGTCACTTTGGACACCCAAATGGCCGCCGCCAAGTGTGCCCCAATGCATCCTCCCACCGCCCTCTCATAGCCACTTCAGACACCCTACTGTCCCCATTTCTACGGCCTCGGCCACCCAGAGGCACCCTCCTCACCAGTCACTTCGGAAACCCCACCGGCACCACCACAACCATAGCCGCAACGTACCCGCGCCCCACCGTGGTAACCCATAATCTCTCCCCACATCTCCCCTCCCCACTGGCACCACCACCGCCATGGCCACACTGCCGTACCCTCACCTGCCGCGGTCACCTTGGCGAACGCCCCCAGTGCTACGGTCAGCCCACTGTTCTCTCCTCCCCCTGCCATCATTAACCCACGCTCCGTCCTCCGCATTGCCGCAGTCACCGCCTCAGACCTGAAGGTCACAAGCCTACCCGCGAATGGACCCATCGTGACAAAACAGGATGGGATAGACACGGGGAGGCAACACGATGGGGACATGACACCATCAGGGCGGGAGGGTAGAGCCCCAAGCCTCCGAAGGTGTCCGAGCTGCTCCTCCAAAACAAAGGACTTTAGGCCTTGAGCTCCCCATTTATACAATACTTCAAGTCCTGAGCACTTGGAATCTCTCACGAACAAAAACGACCGTTCCCCAGGCTGCTCTGAGGAAAGCCACCGCACAGCTGACCTTGCTCGCTCCATCGCGTCGCTGACCGCTCCTCAGGCCGATGCGTCAGGCATCTCCGGCCGCCGCTCGGTTGTGCGCAGGACTCTCTGCCGCAGCTCAACTTAGTACACGCCCCCACTAGTACACGCCCCCACCTGCGCGTGCGCGGCAGCTCCCCTTCACCCTCGGCCGCGCATGTGTGCCCATTTGCCGCAGTGCGGTGGGGGGCCAGCGTCCTCGGTGACCGGAATGGGCTGGGGGAGGGGGCTACTGGGGCCAAACCACCCACTGGCACTTTGTGAGGGGAACACCAGCCACAACCACTCACCTGGGAGCGATGGACACGTGTACCTATTTTTAAGTATGTGTAAAATATTCAGGGAAGAATTCTTGATTCCTCAAGAAATCTTTGCAGGCATCACTGACCGAAGATTTACAATCACCTTCAGGCTTTCCTGTATGCAGTACAGAAAATCTGGTTTAGAAAAATTAAATTTACCAAAATCAGAGTCAATGCAAATACGCCAGATACTTGAAAAAAAAAATCTAAAAAGATGCTACTCTGTTCAAATTTGGTGAGGTTTGTTTTTCCTTTCTCTACTTTCTACTTTTCGGTAAATTGTGAAAATTATGCCCTATAAAATCACAATGTAATTAAACTCTCTAGTGCAGAGTACATATATCATTCAATTAGGAAAACTGGCTATTCATGTCTTATAAAAAAAAAGTGTGAACTGAGATCTCTAACATCTAAAATGGGATCCTTTCTTTGCCTATTAGATTTGTATACATTTAAATTTTTAACAATAATCAGTGATAGCTGGAGTGAGGATAAATAGGCAATTTCATCCAATACTAATGAACAAGTAAATATATGACTTTTGACCTAATAATATCCTTTCTGCAGATATAACAGATGCATTGTTAACTCCGAAATTTAGACATTTGTATAACTTGGGAAAAGACAATGCTAAGGCTAGGAAGCTAAGAATATAATCCTGAGGCTTCATTTGCATAGTTTTTACATACCTTTGCCCTTTCTCAATTGTCCATATCAAAAAACTGGGGGGGTGAAGGTGGACTAATGGTGACTAAATTGTTAAATACCCTCCTGCCCTCCAAAAGTGACTGCTCAGGTCCCAGTGATCAGATAGCCAAACAAGCATGTAGAGACATATCGGAGCCAATTTTTATGATAATAAAATCTTGAAAACTATGTAATGTGCCTCACAGAAAATAGGCAAGATAAATTGATGTGTATATAAACAATAAAATACAATATGGCTGATACAAAGAATGACCTATGAGGCTGAACCATACAATATTGTCAATATTTAATGTTTCTGATCCACAAAAAAATTATAATTTCTAGTAGTTCATTCTTGCATATTTACATAAAATAACTGTGATCATGGGAATAGCAAAATATAATGTAAAATTAACCATACTGGGTTATATTATGTAAATATGTTTATTTCTGCATTGGAAAAATTATGAAAGAGTACATACTACTATAGTCTAGTGATGAAAACCATGTCTTTGGACTCAGACTCTTGAAATTAGCTTTGATGTTTGACAGTAATATTACTTACCTTAGGCAAGTTATTTAACTTTCTGTGCAGTATTTTCCTAATTTGTAAAATAAGGGATAATTGTACTTTTACAATGGTTTGACAATTGAATGAATTGATAGACATATTTAGAAAAAGTGGTGGGCCGGCCCGTGGCTCACTCGGGAGAGTGTGGTGCTGATAACACCAAGGCCATGGGTTCGGATCCCATATAGCAATGGCCGGTTAGCTCACTGGCTGAGCGTGGTGCTGACAACACCAAGTCAGGGGTTAAGATCCCCTTACCGGTCATCTTTAAAAAAAAAAAAAAGTTGTAGTACAGACTGGAAGTCCTTTAGAAATGTCTCTTAGAATTGAACCCATTGTTACAGTGGTACTTCCTCATGGAGTGGGGATTAGATATACAGTATATTTTTTGTTATTGTTAACTAAAGTCCATATCTTATTCAGATTTCCTCAGTTTTTTCCTAACGTCCTTTTTCTATTGCAGGATATCACCTATTACACGCTACACACATTACAGTCATATGTCTTAGGTTTCCCTTGGCTGTGGACTGTTTGAACATTGTTTTGCTTGTTTTTTACTTTTTACAGCCCTTTGTAATTTTTACAATGATAGTGAATTACCATTAAAATATAAGTATTATTAAGATAAATTTATATTTAATTCTCAACTCTAATGTACTTGATTATCTAGTTTCTTGAACCCATCTTCTACCCTTTCTTGTCTATTCTCTTTTCAAACTCTGATTGCCCTCCTGTTTGTTCTACTGCATTAAGAAGTTGCTTTTAGATTTCAAAGACATGATGGGCTCCCTGGGCCTTGCAAACAATCCAAAGAGAATTGTCATTTGATTCACTCATCTCCTTGAAGAGGATAATTTATGTCAGTTAATAGGCTTGATTCAGCATATCCTACTATTGGGGAGTGAGGATACAGAAAAGGAGATTTTTGCCAGTAAACTTTGCTACGAGTACGCTACGAGTCATTTAATGTGTCTCCCAACCATTTCATTTTTTCCAAAGTCTACACTTACACCCAAGCCAAAAACTTAAGGATATGAGTTTAAAGGACACTAAATCTGGAATAAAACTATTTTCTATAGAATTCACATTGGAGAATCCGCAAAAACTGACTAGAACCTCTGCACTGCACATGGTATATAAAAATTAATTCAAAATGGATCAATACCTAAATTTAAGAGTTTAAAATATAAATAATTTAGAAGAAAACCTAGATGTAAATCTGTGTGACCTAGGATTAGGCAATAGTGTCTTAAAACATAAATTACACGTAAAACATAAAACAGAGATAACACATAAAACATAAGCAACCAAAAAATAATAAATTGGACATCATCATAGTTACATAAAGATTTTTGGTTCAAAGGATGCTATTAAGAATGTGAAAAGACAACCTTTAGAATGAGAGAAAATATTTGCAAATCAACAACTCAAAGACAAAAAGACAAAAAAAATTTAATTGGCAAAGGATTTAAATAGTTCTCATAAGGTATTCAAATGGCCAATCAGCACATGAAAACATACTCACCACCATTAGTCATGAGGGAAATACAAATGAAAATCACAATGGGATGCCACCAAGGCTATAATTAAAAAGACAATAACAAGTGTTGTGCAGTAGGTGGAGAAATTGGAAACCTCACACATTGCTAATAGGAATGTAAAATAGCAAAGCCACTTTGAAAAACAGTTTGGCAATGTCTAAAAATGTTAACCATAAAATTATCATATAATCGACAATTGTACATATACCCAAAAGGAATGAAAACATACATCCATGCAAAAACATGTATATAAATTTTCTTCCTCTTTTTTGGCACCTGGCCGGTAAGGGGATATAAACCCTTGACTTTGGTGTTATCAATACTGATGGGCATGAATTTTCATAGCAGACTTATTCATATTAATCAAAAAGTAGAAACACCTGATATGATCATCACATTCAGTATGAATGCACCCAAATATCACATTGTACTCCATAAGTAGATACAATTATCATGGGTCAATTAAGAAAAAGAAAAAAAAAAGAGAAGTAGCAGAATAGTGGTTACTAGAGGCAGGGAAAGGGAAGGGGGGAAAAGGGGTCAGGGAAAAGTTGGCAGACCAGTACAAAGTTAAAAATTGCATTTAGCTAGGAAGAATAAGTTCTGACACTACAGAGTGACAATAACTAGTAATATTGTGTTGTATATTTCAAGATAGCCAGAAAGAAGGATCTTAAATGTTATAATCACAAAGAAACGATAAATGTTTAGGTAATAAATATGCTAACTATTCTGATTAGACCACTATACAATATATGCATGTATTGAAACAACAAACTGTACCCCATAAACGTGTACAATGAAAAAAGTTAAATTAATTTTTTTTTTAAAGTTGGGAATAATTCAAATGTCCATCAACTGATAAATGGATAAACAAAATTATAATGTGGTATGGTATATCCATACAATGGCATACCACTTGGCCATAAATAGGAGTGGAGTGTTGATTCATGCTACAACATGGATGAATCCTGAAAACAGTATGATAAGTGAAAAAAATCTAAGCACAAAAGGCCACATTTCATAACTTCATTTATGTGAAATGTTCAGAATAGGCGAACTCATAGAGACAAAACAAATTAGTGTTTATCAGTAGATGTAGGGGAGGAGTGAACAGGGAGTGATTGCAAATGGTTATGAGGTTTCTTTTTGGAATGATGAAAAATGTTTTGGAATTAGAGTAGGGATAGATAATTGCAAAAAATTGTGAATATACTAAAAAGCACTAAATTACGTTCTCTAAAAGGGTGAATTTTTTAAAAAACTTTTTTTCCTTTCTTTTCTTTTTATTTATTTATTTTTTTGAGGCTGGCCAGTATAGGGATCCAAACCCTTGACCTTTGTGTTATAACACCACACTCTAACCAACTGAGCTAACCCGCCAGCCCTAGAAGGTGAATTTTATGGTATATATGTTATAAGTCAGTTTTTTAAAAAATCCTAATGTAGGGACATTCTACAAACATCTGACTAGTAATATTCAAAACTGTCAGGGCCATTAAAAACCAAGTCTAAGAAACTGTCACAATCAAGAAGAGCCTTGAGACACATGAATAATGAATGTTGAGTGAGATCCTGGAATGAAAAAGGACATTTTAGAGAAACTGAGAATATGTGAATGAAGTATGAACTTCGGTTAATAATTGGTACATTAATTCCAACAAATGTACCATACTAATGTAAAATGTTAATAATAGGGTGAAATGTGTATGAAGTATATGGGAACTCTCCATACTATCTTTGAAATAATTTTGCAAATATAAAACTATTCTGAAATAAAAAGTTAACAGAGGAAAACAACAACAACAAAAAACTGATCCAAAAGGATATACAAAAATGACCTACTTCAGAGAAGAAGATGGCTGGCAGACAAGGTTAGAAGGGAGAGTTCCCACTGAATAATCTTTGTAATTTTGTTTAATTATCTGTCATTTGAATTTATGAACTATACCAAATGAGAAAACCACACTCTCCCACCAATGCT